TATTCATCTTCAGCATGACTACGTGCACTGTAGGACAAAGGCATCTCCCATGTTTCACCAGTCAACTCGGTCCTGTGCTTGCTTCTGCCACTTTATACCCGAAAACTTCCTATTCTCATCTGCCCAACTATCTCTGGCTCCCCCTAACCCGCTTGCCTTTTCTGGGAATCCAGTCAGTTAGCGTTAATGAACAGTGGTTCTCCCGCTTTCGCACTACAAGCCTGGCCCATGTCCATTTCCACTTCTTGAATTCAACTAGAATATCCTTGACCCCGGTTTGTTCCCTAATCCACTGTGCTCTCTTTTTGTCTCTTAAGGTTACACCTATCATTTTCTTTTCCATTGCTCGCTGCGTTGTCCTCAATTTAAGCTGAACCCTTTTTGTAAGTCTCCAGGTTTCTGCTCCGTAGCGGAGTACGGGCCGATGCAGCTGTTATATACCTTCCTCTCGAGGGATAGTGGCAATCTACCGGTCATAATTTGAGAGTGCTTGCAAAATGTGCTCCCTCCCATTCTAATTTTTCTTGTTGCTTCAATCTCGGGGTTCGGCTCCGCGGCTATTACCTGTCCTAAGTATACATAGTATTTTACAACTTCAAGTGCACTATTACCTGTCTCGAAGCGCTGCTCTCTTCCGAGGTTGTTGTACATTACTTTCGTTTTCTGCAGATTAATTTTAAGGCCTACTTTTCTGCTCTTTTCGTCTAGCTCCATAATTATGAGTTGCAATTCGTCCCCTGAGTTACTCAGCAATTCAATGTCATCGGTGAAGCGCAGGTTACTAAGGTACACTCCATTAACTCTCCAAATTATTGTATATATTCCATTGCCAATGATGTGACCTTCTTGATGAATAATTTCAATCGTCCTCTGACTTTACGTTCTTCAAAGTAATGCATTCGCACCTCATTATATTAGCGCATGTAGGTGGTTAGTTATGTTCAATCACTTCTTAAGTATTATACAACATTATTTCTATTAGAGAGTACAGAAAGTTTGCTGATATATTAGCAAGCAGGGTCACTCTTACCATTTGCACTTTTTTCACCTCCCGTAGAAGTGGGAAACTACTGCTCTGCTTTCTAATCTTATGCTGCTGCTGCTGCATTTCTTATCATAATTAGCCTTTGTACTGATGAGTGCTGTCTCTCTCACAAGCCACGGTATAAAGCTGCCAGTGACGAAGTCCAGTAACATAGCAAAGAACGTATGAACAACGCATATTTAGGCTACCGATAGCTATCGTAAGTGAAGTAAGGGCTGTACTGAATAATATTAGTAAAAAGAGAGATGATATTCTGCTACAGAAGCACGTGTTTCTGAACCATTTCACAAGGCACAACTTTGGCTCAACAAGTTCGAATTGGAGAGTAAGAGTGGTTGATATATGAGTGGCTTGCAAATAATTTTATATCTTTCATATGACCCCTCTATTCGTGTTTTCTTAAATTAGAGATAGTATTTCTAATATACGACAGATCTCACCTCTTCCTTGCCACAACCGCCGTATTCTCATCCTCTCAATGCACAAGGATGCTCGTGTACTTAAATTGAGGCGCCCGCTAAAGAGCCATTGATGGCTCAAATTAATCCCGAATCATCATTTCACTTACGATGCGCCTTAGAATCATATCACAGGTTTGGCACGTAAAGCAGTAACTTATTGTCTGTAGCTTGTCTTTAAACGGAGGTAATACTGCAGCTGTGTCGGCATGAGTCAAATAAAAATTTCGTTGTTTTATGAACTCTGTAATTCTCATAGTTCAGTGATTATTGGAAATCATATTTTTGTACTGTACAAATGCTCATTATTTTATCTATATAACTGTTCGTACACCAGACAAAATATGTTTTTAAGCCTGAAATATTACCTAATCAACTCCCCACAATATTGTGTCTCATATTGTTTATGAATAATAAAATAAATTTTATCGGACGCAGTATTGCAGAGTAACGTTTTGTGAGCATTCGAATATTAATTGTATAATTTTGAAGGTGTAGTACTCTTAGAGTATCCCAATGTATAAATTTGCGATCCAAGCGCATCAAGGTATCTAATGAATCATAACTTGCAAAGTTTTGCGAGCCAAAATCCCAATAAAGCTATGAAGCGCGCAGCAGTGAAGGGCATCAATAATGTCGACAACCAGGGGCAGATTAACTCACCTGTAAATCTCAGTATGCCGTTCTGTACACTGTTCTGCCTTCATCAAAACGCAACTGCTATGGCCGTAATCGAGTCCGCGTTTTTCGCGTCAGCAATAAACCAAGCACCACAATCGCGTTCCCAAAGCGGTGGCAAATATCAAGCGATTATGCACACAAATTGAACCATGAAGCTTCAGTTACTTAGAAAAAGAAGCCCTGCCGACCTTACATCATGGTGAGTGTGACGGCCAGGATTAAGAGAAATGGATTGTTGACTGGCGACATCGTTTCCCTGGAGCTGACGTCTTTTCTTTAGCTAAAGGTGCGAAGATTTTTCTTGAAATTCAGTACCTTTATATGCTAACATATAATGACAAAAACACAAGTAGCTTCTCTTAGAAATCTTTCTTTTCTATGACGTTTTAGAAGAACAATCGGTCAGACCTGGTGAATAAAAAATCCCTTCTTTCACTATAAGAAGTTCAGATATGTACTAGCTTGCATAACACAAAGGTCGCCCACTGAAAAATGAGAATTTTTATTTTGCGAAATAAAACGACTCGATTTCGATTGTGCACAAGCTTATATCATAAAATTTTCAGAATCAGAAAGGCTAGCTGCAGTTATTCAAAAGATTGTTTAATGGCTTAGAAACACTGACTGATTTGCTTTTGCAGTGACGCAGCTAAGAATGATAACTTCATTGTAATCTCAACAATAGAAATGCAGTATATAGACATGCATATAGGCCCAGGAACGGAAACCTGTCAATTAATAATAAAATAAACATTTAACCACAGAATTCTCGCGAAACTTTAAGAACTTAGTTTTCATGCGCAAGTGAACAAAGCATGTGATATCGTGTCCGAATGCAGCAACTTCAAAAATGACACCTATATTATTCATGAAGTCGCAGATGCAAGGCTCACCTAGCACGTGGATTTTTTAGTCTATACGGTACAATGTTGCTACGGCGAATTAAAGCTTGAACTTATTGAATTTACTGTGATTTCATGGAAGGCTGATCTATAGCAATGTTTTCCCACTACGGCTGGTGACTGCACGGCCACTGCCAAAAAGGGAAGGCAATTGGTACTTTTGTCACCCAACAACTTTCCTAGAACGCTTTGTATAAAGTCTTAAAGCACTTCCGCTCCTTCTTCGTTTTGCGCAATGACCTAGTGGGCACAACGTGTAGAGATAAAGAGAGGAAGAGGAAGGCCAAGGGATCAACCAGATATTATCATCCGCTTTGCTAGGGTGAAGGGGGGATACGAGCTAGAAAAAAGGTATAATGGTTCATTGTACGGTTCAGGACTGGGCAAAGATAATTTGAAATTGTATAGCGATGCGACACAAGGTCCTGCCGCATTTAATATATCTGATACGGTACTTGCAAAATGTGTCCTAATGTACATTAGACACATTTTCACATAAAAATTCGTGTAATGTGGAAGAAAAGCGTATATATACCAAATTGTTGCTTGAAGACTTCTTACCTGCGGTTAATTTTACTGCAGTTAGACAAAAATATCGGTTTGGTATTTTCTGCTCAGAGTACATTTAATTCCTTCGTATCCAAACTTTTTTGTGTTAATTTACCTGCTTAATGCAACAGCTGTTGATGCACGGCGCTGTCCATGGTTTTCGCTTGCCGCTTCCGTAAGATATGGGTGTCACTACTCTGCTTACCGGCCAGTTAGATATTTAATTACAAGACCATCCATAAGGCGCCTCCAAACGATGGCCTGAATAACTGCGTGGAGTTTTAGCGCGTCTATAAATGCACTGCCACTCACGCAATACTCGAGTACTGCAGACGTGTAAAGCATCAGGACCGCTGGTAGCAACCTACCTTAAGGATAAATGAGGATGAGGTCATGCGGACACCCTCTTAAAGGCGGTGACTATGTGCATCGGAGGGACGTTCCCCTAAAATGATCACTGATACAGTGATTGCACATTTCTAATCAAAGCATTTTCCTAACAAGGCATATGAACTCTGTGTAACGAGCCGCCTAGCTTACACTCGACACGAATCTAGCTTAAATCGATTCTGTCGTTTTACAATATGTAAATGAGGTTCCCTTAAGTTTCTTCCTCGCAAGTCGCTCACTGCCTCGGCTCTCGGCTTTCTGATTTTGACGTTCATAGACCTTCAGTTCGGTAACTTCACTCGACACCACGTTTCCTGTCGTTTGGCATCTGCACAAGGCCAGTCTCAAGAGGGACAAGCTTCTCTAGTCTCCATTTTTCCTATTGAAAACACGCTCCTGAACTTTTTTCATATATCAAATTTGGAACCTTTTACTTTACCTTTTAAAAATAAAGAGCTCATTATATGAGCGAGACAGCATTGCGTAAATTGAAAAAAAATGGGGGACCCCTAAACTTGCACGGGATAGGGATATCCTGTCCCTATAGCTGCGAATTTCAACCACTTACTGTATACGTCTTATTCCATGATGGTACTCGAAACGTTTACGTTGTGGATTACTACAATGCAATTGATAAATTAGTCAGTGCCTTGTGTCAGGGAAACTTTCGCATCTGGCTGCATTTCGTGAAATGGGTAGCATGCCTTAAGCCACGAGCACTTACGCGCGCTAAATGTTTTTTAACTTGCTATGCGCCAACTACACGCTCCTAAAGGAATGTGCACGGTAATGTGTGTGCCTTTTGTAATAGGTTCCTGACTTTAAACAGTGAAGTTATGATAATCACATGTTATAATGGCCTACGAATATGGTCTCGCTTATACCACGCATTAGTACAGCGATATTAGGTTTTATTGTAAAGCCTGTATCAAGACGCCCGTGTTTGTATAGCATCAACGTTATTCTCACTGCATATCTAAGCAGAGAAAGTTCTTTTCACTCGATTTCTACCAAGCAGTCATGGCTGTTCAGTAGAACGCAGGCTTGCCACTCAAACAGCCTGGGATTGATGTTCCCTCAAAAATGGAAAATTTTTATTAATGACTTCCTTTGAATCTATCTCATTTTTTTGGTCACGGACAAGATGATTATTCACTCACGACCAGCGACGCCGACGCCGCAATTTCGGCGCGACGAAATATTTAACGCTACGATGTTAGTATTCGATGAATAAGCTGGATGATCAGGCACGGTGTAACTGAATTCTTTAGAAAGTTCATTCAAGATATTCGCCAGAATGTCATGAACATTTATTGCTTCAATAATATCTTTCCAGATGACGTCGACGGTAACGACGTGGCTCCCTGCATATAAACTCGTAGCCGTAGGTATTAAGGAAATATCCGCAACTGCATAGTCCTCTGCAGGTATAGTTGTACGGGTAGTACGTGCTGCAAGGCTAGAAAGAAACAAAAAAAAAATGAAGTGCGTGCAGCTGACAAGTTAGTACGTAGGCTGTAATGTTATATATATCAATGCATGCCTTGTTTCCAGACTTACATAGGGCTACAGTACTTGCATTACTTGCATTGACCATCGGCCTGCTATAAAGGGTCTGGATTTGAACGGGCTGGTATACGGTATCATTGCTCAAAACAGCGCGAGAAACCATTGCAGCAAGGAGCAAACAAAGCGCTGACATCGCGCAAATTTAGAATTACTTCCGAATGTCAGCAACCAATCATGTGACGTGGATCGTAATAAAAAGGTCCACAGCTACGATATGTTTTTCTTTTTGAAGTCGTTGTTTATTAGCGCTGTTTCCAGCTATAACCAAAGTCAGCCTTACAAACCAATTTCTCCTGAATAGATCAACTGCTGCCCCAAAAAGACAACACGCTCTTTATCATAATTTCTTTCTGAGTGTACATCGCCTTCTCACCTAGTCACTTCTGGAATGTTCGTGACGACGCGCTGTTCCTAATATGGCTTGCAGAACCTAAATACGCTCTTATTGGTGTCGCTCTTCGTGGTTTTACTACTGGCGTATACGTTTCTTTGCCATTCAAGACATTCGTCTCAGTAATTTTAGGGGACTCACTGTGATTGCGAAATCGAACAGAGCTCTGTAGATACTGTACTAGCTTTTCCATCTCCGAAAATTCGCTTGCCAACCTGTAAAACTACTAACAGAGCATGCAAAACGTCTGCTGTGATTCAGTGGACGGCCCACGGACGCGCCATGAGAATACAGGTCGCTCTTTTATGCTTGAATCGAAAAATTCAACAGGTCTCTCGTACCTTGGAAATCGACGTTGTACCAAGCACGTTGTGGGAAGGTAACCGTATTGTAATTTTTTATCGAGCGACAGGTCATGAAATGACGCGATATATACGTAAAATGTTGAACACACATATGTTGAAGAGTTGCAGATGTTTATATATCAGTTGTTGGCACTTCTGCACGATGACAAGAGAAACGTGAGTACTTGAGACACCAGATGTAATAAGGTGATAGAAGCACTGACGCAAGCGAGGATGGTAGCCCTAGAAACTGCTTCCTAAATCACCTTCAGCACATGGCACCCTACTATACAAGTGGCGTTAACCCGACTTGGTGGCTCTATCACAAGGGTACATATGCAAGCTTTTTAAATCAGATAACCAGCACTCCAACCACAACTGACATCTCACGCATATGAGGGTCTACTTGAAACCGCAGTTTAGAAACCTGGCGTGGCTCTGTGGTAGAATGCTTCGTTGCCACGCAGAATGCTTTGGTTTGATTCCTGCTGAAACCTTAACCTTTATTCTTTCCATTCGTCAGGTCAACGCTACCGATGTATGGTTTTTCTTAACGCTCTGTGTTCTCATCATACATGGGGAGATACTGAGTTTCAATCACGTGTGACACATACCCGCCTACCAGTTGCACATACCCGCCCTCTGGTATGTGCCACTGTTTGGAAGGAAGTGTAACGACGTACGTGACGGGATGGTGACGTTATTCGTGTATTGACCAGCGTGTCATATTCGTCATACCATCTTATTTTCCCATGCTAATTTTGGTTCACGCCAAGTTAAGGGACGTAAGCGGACAGACAGACAGACAGACAGACAGACAGACAGATAGATAGATAGATAGATAGATAGATAGATAGATAGATAGATAGATAGATAGATAGATAGATAGATAGATAGATAGATAGATAGATAGATAGATAGATAGATAGATAGATAGATAGATAGATAGATAGATAGATAGATAGATAGATAGATGGATAGATGGATGGATAGATGGATAGATGGATAGATGGATAGATGGATAGATAGATAGATAGATAGATAGATAGATAGATAGATAGATAGATAGATAGATAGATAGATAGATAGATAGATAGATAGATAGATAGATCGTGTATTCGTGTATTGACCAGCGTGTCATATTCGTCAGACCATCTTATTTTCCCATGCT